CCCCATGCTCTAATGCAGCTTTGGCCTTTTTGTCTTTCTTATTCTTCTTCTTTTCCTTCTTGATCAACTGGGGAGCTGCTGGAGGGTTCTCATCACTTTCACTCTCACTCTCTCGCTTCCGCTAAAATGAAAATGATTAGTTGAAAGTTAGATCCTTGTTAGTTACAGACAAGAAAAGTTCAGTACATCCAAAAGTCTTAAGAACCCAACTAGACCCAACAGTAAGTAAAGCTGTGGGACACAACAGGAGTACCACAGTTGCAGAATGGGGTTTAGGGACTAGAAGGCCCTGAGAAGTCATTTCTCTCACAGGTGGACTACAGGACCTAAGAGTGGTCCCTAAATTCTTACAGAATGTAGGCAAAGTTGGAATTCACATCTGACAAGTGAAAAGTTCTGCCAACAGTTTATAAGTCACTAAGTATGACCCAAGTTGCCACCATATACTTTCACCCTTTAAACACTGGACTGCTGCTGGCTAGTCTCATTCTCCTCACAGCAGACACACAGGGAACATGAATCAGAGAAGCCCACAGAGCCCAAACCAGGCCCCCAAGGTGAATATGAGACATTATCTGTGTATGCACTGCAGCTAGGATGAGGGTAAGAAGTTACACTGAGCCTAACACTGGTGCTTAGAATTATCTCCTGAAGCACATTTCCAACAGACCATGGCATGCCACTCACCTTTGGGACTTTTACAGCGTCAGAAACTACCTGTGGGGCTTTTACCACTTCAGCAACTAAAGGTGTGGTTTTTAATACTTCAGCAACCACCTCTCTTTTGCCAGAATCACTGAAATAGAAGAAGCAGTAATAAGTCAAATTGGCTGAGCAGCTTTCCACAGCAGTTCTGCTATATTCTAAGTTATTCAGCAATACTGGGTAAGCCCAAAACCACCACAAAAATACTAACTCTGGACAGAATTCACCAGTTACTATTACAGACTTACTCCCTCAAGAGTCAAACGACCAGATTAGAAAGAACTGTGTGCTATTCAGGCCTGAGCCCTTACCTGGCCCAGGCAGCCAAGGTTTCACAGAACCCAGCGAAGAAAACTGAACTGAAGCACTGGGTCCTATAGTTGGGCACTTAGCACATTTGCTCAAAATAAAACTCTCACTCTCTACCAGGGATCTGCAAACTCATCTGTCATCAATGTCCAAATGAAAAGTTTCCTGTCTCTACCCAGTCCCTGAAACATCTTACCCTCACCTGTAGTCAATGTACTCCTGCTTCCAGGTGGCAGGAGTGTTATCTGTGGGTTTGCCATGCTTGTCCAGAAGACCTTGCTTGATCATTAGCTTCTTCTGACTTGCCTGGTAGTACATTGGGGTTAAAATTAGAATGTTGTATCAATGCAAAAAATAGACAATGTGACTGCACACTATACCCTTAGACCTACCCTGCTTGCACAGAATGGCATAACATTTCTGCCTTGTGTATTCTAAGAAGAGCGCCCCCCTCCTCTGCAGAATTGTCCTGAATTGTTCCCTCCCCTCTTCACCTCACCAATACCTAACCCATCCACCCTTCACACTGCTTTAAAAGAAAATCCCTTGCCCAGATTACCTGACCCAGATAAACTCCTCACTGTGGATTCCCTAACCCTGGGGACCTCCCTGACTTTTTCTTTTGGTATCAGGGATTGAACTCAGGAGCACTCAACAACTGAGCCACATCCCCAGCCCTATTTTGTATTTTATTTAGAGACAGGGTCTCAATGAGTTGCTTAGTGCCTCGTTTTTGCTGAGGCTGGTTTTGAACCCGTCATCCTCTTGCCTCAGCCTCCTGAGCCACTGGGATTACAGGTGTGCACCACTGCATCCAGCATCTCTGCACTTCTAAAAGCCATTAACTTGGCTAAAATTCAGCATCCTACTATGTATGTATTTAAGAAATGCCCAACTGTTTTGCCCCATGAGGCCACAAGTCTTTGAGGTCTACGATGCAGCCTGACTCTGTTCACTGTCAACAATCCAACACGATGCAAGGCTACAGTAGTAAGGACACACCAAGATTTATAAGAGCAGGTACTCAGCAGTAACACAAAGCAAAATAACCCAGCAAGGCCTAAAACCCAGTCCTACTTACCTTTGGACCCAAACCCCACTTCCGAGGGTAGGTGTCTCTCTCCATAATCACTCTCTTGATCTTTGCTACTATACCATGGTCACAGGTAGAGATCACTGCTGTGGTCATCAACGCAATAGCTGTAGGCATTGGAAAGAAAAGAATGATTTGAAGGGGAAGGGCTTGATAACTGATGAATCCCAATTCTACTGCTTCATGACTTTTAAAACCCCACTTACAGCCCCGAGATCTACTACCTTAACAGGGGTTTCCTTTGCTTAGACTGTGAATATGGAGAAAAATCCTCCATTATAGGAAGGAAGCTTCTGAAATGATGCTAACTTTACCAATTTAAAGACACCTAACCAAAGCAAGTGGATACACATGGCAGGTTTGTGGCTTAGGACATGTATAGGCTTGACACACATGTCCCCTAAGGGCCACGGAATGTTACAAGAAAATGGATCCCGGAAACTTCAATCTGTGGGATTGAAGCCTTCTATGACTGCCTCACCTGCTCAGAGTTGAGTGAGTTGACATGCTTTGCTTTACTTCTGGTATAAATTAGAACTATTAAATGAATAGTCTGACTCACTCATTAAGAGGGGCACAGGGTATTTAAAATCATAAGGAAGTGACCCAATAGTAGTGAAACTTTCATAAATTAAAAAAAAAGTTACTTATTAAGCTACCTGCAAGCAGACAAGGAGCAAAATAAAGGATCTTTATTTTTGATTACCACAGACAACCACAACCACTCATCACCAGTGATTTCCTATATTCTCTCTGGAGAGCCAAAAATCTACTCATATGAAAGAGAAACCCCACTTATCTCCTCCTCACCTACACCTGACTGACCTCCCCCTTTACTGTGACCACCTGTAGACCTTAGGAGACACCATGAATAGATCAACTTAAGGAGTCAGTATGTGCAGACTGGCTCTCAGCAAACATAGCTATGATGGAGAATGGAGCCCCATCTCCAGAACTGATGAGGGTGACATCCCTCCTTACCCATGCAGATTGCTTCCCCCTTGGTAGTGATGACCACAATCTCCTGGTTGACCTCAATGCCATCTTCATATCGGAGAACACCTGGCAGCATAATCTTGGCCCCATAGCAGATTGCATTTACCTACAGAGATGGTATCACATGTGAGGCCCCCAGCCACTGCCCTCCATCTTACTCCTACAATCTATAACAGGAGAGGTGAGAGCAGGAAAAGTAGCTAATGGCACTGAGAGTTCAATAGGACACAAAGGGTCACAGAATAGTAGCAGCTACTTACTGCATGCTAGGCACTGGTCTAAAAACTTTACACATCTCATTATTCCCATTAATCTCTAGTTGCTGAAGAACACATCCCTCTTTCTTCACTAAGTTACATAATCAGATATTTAGGTTCTACTTTTCTCCTATGACATATAGGTGCTGTCATTTTAAATAAACCTGCCTTACTTTTCATGAATTACCCCCTACTTTTACCAGGAGAAAGAACAATACATTTACTGAAGATGCAAGCAGTAACAGAATCCCAAAGTAACTTGCAAAAAGTTAAGTAGGCTGCTCAATCACATAAGTTTTGGCATAGAACTTATAAGCCAATGGTTAACTCCCTAGAGTTTGATGGCATCCAAGGCATCCATGTATCTCATGACATCTTGTCTTCACTTGACCATATTCCACCCTCTCCTTAAATTCACCCAGAAGTTAACAGCCTGATCCCAGAACATCACATTTACGCCTGACTTTTTTCAATTCTTAATAGTGCTATGTTTTATTATACCTCTTTAATATTTTAACCTTTTATTATAGACTGACATAAAAAATGCACCATATATGAATACACAATTTTAATAACTGAATACAAACAATTATCAACCTCAAATTATTACATGGAAATATCCCTCAAGTTAGAAAAAAAATTTATGGCTACATAGTACTTAACAAAAATTGATTATGCACCAAGCCACAAAACAATCTTAATTTATAAAAGCCTACATCCTCTAATCATATTACAATTAGAAATAAAAAAGCTATTTTAAAAATTCCAGACCCTTAAAAAAAGAAAGGGTCAAACTAAAATAACTGCATTTCACTTGCATTACTAAGAGGACTACTCTTTTTTGTTTGTTGTTGTTTGGTAATAGAGATTGACACCGGATCCCAGAGCACTTAACCATAGAGCCGCTTCGTACCCACCCAAGAGTTTTTATTAAAATTCCCACAAGATAAAAACAGTTACAGATCTGAAACTTTAGTCTCAAAATTTCCCCATCAAAACAACTTTTTCTAACAATAATTTAAATAAGTCAAGGTTTTTTATGCACATGCAGAAGTAACAAGTTAAAGAGAAGCCAAATTTTTTTGTACCACCAAGTCTATTACCTGAACCAAGTTACTTAGAACTGTTAAAGTCAATGTTTAATTTGCTCTATTTTTAAATAGAAGGAGAATTAGCATTAAACCTTTAAAGATATATATATGGTTTTGACTTCATAGATGTTTCCGTTATTAACAGCAGAGAATCTAGCATCTAACCTACGCCAATAGGAGGGGAATTAGACCCTAAGGAAAATGATAAATGTAAATTCACAGTACTAATGTTTCATTTTTAAAAAATAGAATGGTTTCAGAACATGGACTGTCTCATCTCTGGAGTACATCCTATACAAATGTGGGCTCTTAATCCAGAACTTACTGCACTATCTTTCATAACCAATCGTTTATGGGATGTCAACAGCTTTTCCAAAGGATAAACAACTCGCCGCAGGTAACTCTCATCCTTGTGGTTATCATATAGCCACTGAGCATCAAGCACATCATGCATTGTCACCATATGGTCCTGAAAAGCAGCCACAGATGAAAGTAATTCAGTGTCTTCATATCTCAAATATCCACCAGAACCCAAACTTCTTAAAATTGAAGGTAACTACTTGTGAACTTGTCTGCTAGTCTAAGGTCATTAGGAATCTTCAGTCTCTTAGAATTGTTATTTTAACTGTTGCTAAATTAGATTTAAGCAGGCATTTTTGTAGACCAGAAAGTAAATAAAATAGATTAATATTTTCTATCTGATCATCTCCCCTAGTCAATTTTAATGTTCCAAAGTTTAATTAACAGAACAGGGAAGCTGCCCTGAACTGAACTCAACACTTTGGAAATCGTCTTTCCCAGGATATGAAGCAATGTAAGGTTCCATCAAGGGCTGGCAAATATTAAGAATCAGTTCTAAAGCCTCTAGCCCCACAATGGCATACCTTTTCACTCATGACTCCAGAACGAACCCTCCGAAGTTCCTGCATCTGACCGCCAACTCCCAACAACAAGCCAAGGTGTACACACAGTGTCCGAATGTAGGTGCCAGCCTCACAACTCACCCAAAAGATTCCTGAGACACATATACAAAAAAAGTTGCACCTATTTTACAGAGTAAACACATATTTGGTTGTGAACCTGAGTTATTCTCCATCTGAGCCATCAGGACTAGAGAAGACAGATGCAGGAGAATATACAATACGCTAAGTGCATCTACTTTTAACAACAGAATGGAACCCTCAAAAATGCATTCCTACTCACTTGCAGTCTGTGGCAATTCAGTTCCTCACAGGTCTAACGACTCACCTAGTCTTCTTTCAGGATCATATTCAATCATTTTGCTCTCATAGATAGTCCTCACTCGGAGTTGCCTCTTTACTGCAGCAATAAGTGGGGGTCGCTGGAACAGGGCACCTGTCAGAGTTTCTAGGGCCTAAGAATAAATACAAACCAAAGCACTTTCATCACACAGATTCTTACATAAGTTTAAAGGGCATATTTGGGGAATTTATAACACAATTGAGACACAGGTTTATTTCAATTATTAAGATCAAAAATACCCTTTTTAAAAACATCTTAATTTTTTTTTAGTTGTAGATGAATACAATACCTTTATTTATTTTTATGTGGTGCTCACGGTGGAACCCAGTGCCTCACACATACCAGGCAAGCACTCTACCACTGAGCCACAATCACAGCTCTAAAATGCCCTTTCTTTAACTACTCAGGTAAGGGTTTGTCCCCACCTCCAGTATTCCCCTCCTCAGGCTAGCTAAGGAAGCCCACTGAAAAGGGCATAAGAGATGATAAGCTAGGAAAGCTAACCTGTTTCCACATAGTTAGGGGCTCAGAAACCCAAGCAGTCTAAGGTGCCCTCCCTACAGTGGCAGACTTACCCTAGAAAGCTGAGTCCCCCCTTCAATAGCATTGTGCAGCCGGACAATTCCCACATACTCTTTGCCTGAAAAATGACAAAAGAGTAGTCAGGTGTGGCCACTAAGTTTTTTTATACTTCTAACATGCCTAATCACTGCCATTTTGCATAGCAGAAAAAGCAGATATTTCACATCATGTTTACATAAAACTTTTATTAAAAGACAGATTTCATGGTGCTGATGGGAACACGAAATGAAGTCATTTTTTCTCACTTGGAGGTCAGTGGGGCTGACAAGGACAGCTGGACACCCAGTACAGAGCCCAACTGGAAAATACCTTGCTAAGGTAAATAGAATTTTCTCAGGTGAGAATGAGAAAAATGGTACTTTAGGCAGCAGGAGAGGAACCTGGAATGACAAGTCCAGAGCTGGACAGAATTCTGCCTCAGTGTTAGAATTTGTTGACTCAATGTGCACATGACCAGTATCTCAAACTCCAAGAGACCAACCTGGGTCTGGCAAAGGACAGAAGGGCATATGAAAACCAAAAGAATATCCCTGCTTCAGGAATTTCTCTCTCCTAATTAAGAAATTTCCAAGAGCCAAAATGCACAAGGGAAGCAAATGCAGAGTGCCTTCCAATCTCTAACTAGCCAGCCCTCTGCTCCATCTTTCACATACCTGCACTCTGTTGTGATTTCACCAAACGTGTTGCACGTTCTATGCACACGATTAAACAGCCAGTCACCTTTGGATCCAAGGTGCCACTGTGTCCTGTCTTCTCTACCCGAAGTATTCGTCGGATCCAGGCTACCACCTCATGGGAAGAGGGGTTAGAGGGCTTGTCAAGATTAATAAAACCTGTCCTAGAATGGGGAAAAAAAAATGTACTACCTGTTCTGAACTCTTCAACCAACCAAAACCAAAAATCACTACCACCACCATCACCAACAATTTTCTGAAGAATTAAAAAGAAAAAAAATCCATCACAGATATAGGTTATATATCCAGGGCAAAGCCATTCTAAGATGACACTACCTCTTTGAATATGAATAATGTGAAAGCATTATTTTGAAAAGAATTTGACTGAACAATGCTTGATCCCAACACATTTACCTGATATAGTCCCCAATCTCCCTCTTCAGAGGATTTGAACCACAAGGAAGAGGTGTATAGTGTGTTGTCCTTACATTTAGCTTATCGAAATTCTAGAAAGCAACAATATAACACAAAATGAATGAACCACTGACACATCTAAAACAAGAGTTAGCACCATCATCAACCCTTAAAGTTCATAGCAACCCTTAAAGTTCATAAATCTAGATTCTTGTGCCTACATTACCATTAGTTGCTGTGACAGACTGTTAAAACTCCTTAAATACTGGGAAAATTCCCAATATTGGAACAAGACAAATTTGAGCACTTACTTGTAGATTCAAGTCATTGCTCTAGAAAAAGACTTACTGGGGTACTACAGAACACATACTGGGCTTCATTGTGCAGGATTTGAATAAAACATGGAATAGCTTTGATTTTCTCAGCAACAAAAGAGCCAAACTGAAGATGACTGGCAATGCTTCTGAACATGGCCAGCTTATTCTTGCACCATATGCCCCACATCTCTGCTCCTTTGTAATCTCCTGAAACTTGATCACCAGTTGTAAGAATTCACTACCTGAAGTCTATCTTTCATCATCAGTTTAGTTTCTCCATTGTACTTACAACAACAGCAATAATGTTTCAACTACCTATCTCCCATTCCTGGAGTTTGGGACCTTACATACCCTGTTTATTAGCGTATTTCCAGGCCAACAACAGAAAAGAGATATTGCTTAAATGACAGTGATTATCTGGCCAAGCAGAAACTCAAATTGATTAAATTATATAAATACCATTCTTTCATCATCCCATACACAATGATTTTTATTAAAACTGTCAAGGGTTATCTCACTAACTTTTTTCTCGAAGACTCATAGCTGTTATCCATTTTTTAAAAAAATTTTAGTTATAAATGGACACAATATCTCTTTATGTATTTATTTTTATGTGGTGCTAAGGATTGAACCTAGTGCCTCACATCTATGAGGCAACTGCTCTATCACTGAGCTACAGCCCCAATCCGAGGTGTGTAACATTTTAATTGTGAAAATTATGAAAACAGTGTAATTTAACTCTATTTCTCAAGTACCCAATTTAAACCTCAAAGAAATAGTGAATACTACATGTTAGAAACTGTGCCTAAATGTGTTTCATAGAACACCTAACCCTCAGCCCAACTTCCTAAGTGAAGATATTATGAGCAAACTGCCTTAAAAAGTTTAAACAACTAGTCCAAGATCACACACAATGTGATTCAAATAGGTCTGGCCTAAAAGCCCAGAAGTAAAGCAATGCAAGTCTGGTCCACAAACTGGTGCAGGTGTACAAGATGGAGTAAGTTAAGAAACGAACTTGTTTATAAATTTTGATAGTAACTTAACATTGTGGTGACATTTTTACTGAACAACAATGTTGGATGCACTGGAAATTTTAAAATAACCTGGCCCTTTATCTCAGATACCTGAAATTTCACTGTTTTAGACTGTGACTTATTATGGTGGCATTTGTTAAAGTGAAAGATTTAGTAGTAAATATGCTTTTTTATTTTATTTATTTTAAAATATTTTTTAGTTGTAGATGGACACAGTATTTTATTTATTTTTATGTGGTGCTGAGGATTGAACATAGTGCCTCAGGCATGCAAGGCAAGTGCTGTACCACTGAGCTATAACCCCAGCCCCTAGTTGTAAATATTCTTAATTAACTGTTTAACAATTAGAAATAGTATCAAAGTCAGACATCAACCTTACACACATAGCACATACCTTTAGCAACAAGGGCCACTGAGATGTATCCAACTGAGCCACTTTGGATTCTGGTTTGATAAGAAATTCTTCAGCATGTTGTATTTCCTTTAAGAGGACAGATACATGACCTATTAGATCTTTCCATGTATTTTGAACAATTCCATTACTACCACAGTGGTGTATACCTTTTAAATGACAAATAAGGCATTGTGTGTCTTTTCCTCAGAACCTCCACAGGGAAGAAATGAACCAGAAGCTCTTTAGGTGAAGTGCCATTAAGATGGTTGCAATACATTTAAAATAAAAGGAAATGGGGGTCTGCTGATGGGACAAGAAAGAGAAATCCAGGAAGAACAGCTGCTGTTGCCAACAGCATTTTGTAAACTTAGGTTGTCTGCCTTTGGCTTTTCAGTGTTTTGGCTCTACACAATGACTAGTGAATGCTAGCCCATTCGTTGAGAATATTTAACACTTCTTTAGTTTAATATGTTAACTAGTCTTTTTAGCCAAAGCAAAGTAAAAACACATCCCTACTTACAGCTACATCTTCTTCTTGTAAAGACTTCCGCTCCTTTTTCTTCTTATGTTTCTTTGGTAAAATAACTACTAAAACAAACACGAGATTTGGTAATTTTTCCTCGGAACAAATGAAACAAAACTGAAAGTTAAGACACGTAGAAAAAGGATTTTAATCTAGCACTGGTGCAGAAAACTCAAATGGGTAAGGCCAAACACATGGGTCGACTGCCTGGTAATGACTGCAAGCCGTTTGCACGTGCTGACTTCCCTTCCAATTCACCACGTGGCTGAGGCAGGGCTCAAATACCCAACAGAAGCGCTCACCCATGGGCCAGAAAGTTCCACAGGCGGCCACTCAACTGTCCATGCGGCTTGTGTTCTCTAAGACGTTTTGAGCTCGGAGTTAACCCCATTCCGGGACCACCCGGCCTTTTCCCCACACCCTCTTAGTACCCTCGCTCCCTCCATCCCATGACACTAATGGCGACCCGGGTTCTAGGTGTACTCTCAGAGATGGGAAGCCTGAAACCCGTGGAGTACAGTTTCCGCGAGAGCTTCTGCTCGACACTCCTCCGTGGAGTCAGGGCCAAGAGGCAAGGTCGGCCTAAGGCCCGGCGGATACGCGGCAGACCCACCAGCGAGAGCAGGCAGCAGGCGCGGGGCCTGATGCTATCTCCCCACCCCTGGCTCCTCAAGACTTCAAAAGGTCGCCCAGGTCTCACTACCAAGGCGCCCGCAGCCCTTACCTTCCTCGTCCGCCATGTTGTACAGCACCGCGTGCGTTCCAGGCTCGCCACCCCCGAAAAAAATACCCGCAGACTCCCGCCGCTAGGGTCCGTCAGGCCGCGCCACCAGGACCCGCCCACCCGCGCACCGCCCGTGCGTGCCGCGCCGCAGGGCGGGAAGGGGAGGGACTTCACTGGGGGTGGGGCCTGGGACGCGCGCGGGCCATCAGCTAAATGTCATTGGCTGCCTCTGCCCATTGCCGGGCACGACTGCGCATGTGCTTGAGGGCTCACCCAGCCTCTCATGGTTCCAGCTGGAGGCGCAAGCGCCGCGCGCCTCCAAGGCCAGGACCGTGTGGGCGTGGCCCTGGCAGTAGCTTGCTAGTGGTCTCAGCTTTGACTTCCCATGCTCAGGCTCTGTAAGTCGAAACCCGCGGCCTTCTCACGCCTACCCGTTCAAGTTGGTGTCAGAACAATTACGTTGAAAAAATAAAATGTCGAGGCACAAGAAGGATGAAAGCCTTTTGCTGCTTGGAATTTACTTCCAGTTAGGGCGATGCTGACCAATAGGAATAGAGTGAGAGCCATGTGTGGACCTGCACATTTTCCAGCAGCTACATGAAAGAAAAATAAAAGGATGAGAATTTCTTATAGTAAAAAATTTTATTTTGCCCTGCATAGCTGAGATATCACCATTTCTGGTGGCTTTTCTCCACCATTACTGCTGTCTATGACTCGTCTAGATTTTTCCAGTGGCCTCCTACAGGTGCATCTGTTTCTACTTTTAGATCCTATCCCTTCTCTGCTTAAAATCTTTTAAGGCTTCCCATTGTAGTGGGGTGAACAGTGGTCCCCCAAAAGCTATGTCCACAACCTAACCTTCAGACCCTGTGAATGCAACAGTATTTGCAAAAAGGTCAGTGCATAAATAATAAAGTTAAGGATCATGAACTCGTCCTGCATTACCTGGCTGAGCCCTAAAACCAATGGCAAGCTCCTTACAAGAGAACGGAAAAGTCAGAAGAGGAAAAGTTCAAGTGAAGGTGAAGGCAGAGATTGACATGCTTTCAGATTTCTAGCCTCTGTTATTGTGAAAGAGTAAATTTCTGTGGGTTTTAAGCCACTGGTTTGGAGATAATTTGTTATAATAGTCCATCTCATTAAAGAGCAAAAGCCAAAGTTCTTACAATGGCTATGAGAATTTGCCTCCAATTCTTCTTCTTGAGTTCATGTCCTTCCAATCATGCCCTTTATTCCTTTCCTCCTGCCATGATGGCTCTTGCCTGTTCCTGAGTATTATAGGGGCATTCCTCCATCTTGGGCTTTCATACCTGCTCTTCCCTCATTGTCTACTCCACTACTAGAATATTATAGCTTTATCAAGGCAGGAAATTTGTGTCTGTTTTGTTCACTGCTATATACTCCTTCCTGTAGGCTACAAACTGGAACCAAATTGGATTTTCTCCAAGGATATTCATAGCACAATTATTCACAATAGCCAAAGGGTGGAAACAATTCAAATGGCCATCAGTAGTTGAATATATAAACAAAAAGTGGTCTATCCATACCATGGAGTATTATTTACCCATAAGGAAGGAATTAAATATGATATTAATACATTTTACAACATAGATGAAACCTCGAAAGCACTATGATGAGTGAAAGAATCAAAAGACACAAGGCCACATATTATATGATCCCACTTACAAGAACTGCTCAGTATAGGCAAATCTAGATAGAGACAGATTAATGGTTGCCTAGTACTAGGAGGTTTAGGATAACACTGGAAATAATTGCTAATGAGTTATTAGCAGAAGCAGGGTTTCCCTTTAAAGTAGCAAAATGTTCTAAAATTACATTGTGGTTATAGTTACATAAAATTTTAACAATTGTAGAATAAGATGGCCACTCATTACTGCTCTGAATAGATTAAAGGACAATCAAATTCCTTGAATTTTTTGTTGAGCTTATGGACAAAATTTCTATAATCATCCTCAAGGAATCACTTTTATAGCACAAAAAGGTAACCAAAACCCAAAGTTATATTTTGATCTAATACCATATAAAATTACAAAACTCAGTGAATTTGCAGCTTTGTCAGTTCTTTAAATAAAAGTTCATGCAGGGCTGGGGTTGTAGCTCAGTGGAACAGCACTTGCCTAGCATGTGTGAGGCACTGGGTTCGAGCCTTAGCACTGCATATAAATAAATAGAATACAGGTATTTTGACTTTACTTCTGATACCAAATTCTATGCTAGTTGGAAATACAGCCATACATCATTGCTTAAAATGGGACAAGTTCTGATTACTTCATTGTCAGACGAATATCCCAGAGTGTATGTGCACAAACCTGGAAAACATAGCTCAATCACTCAGCATGGTGTCTTGATGCAGTCATAATGTGCATGAGGCTTCTGCCAGCTTAACATGGCATATTGGTTCACAGTAAACTTTTCTTTAGATGTAGAAGAGTACACACTAAAATGATGATAAACAATGTAGTACAGTAAATACATAAACCAATAATAGTTTATTATCAAGCATCATGTTCTGTACATAATTTTATGTCAATACCATGGTCAGTGTTGTAGGTTTATTTATGCTAGCATCACCACAAGCACATTATCTTTTGGTACCACTGTTATATATGTGTTATGTGGTATATGGCTGTATTTTGTTTGCAAGTAAAAGAAACTGACTCTTGCATGATTTAACCAAAAATGAAATTTATTAGAAGGGTGAAATGGGCTCATGGACTCAATAAAGGACAGGTTTAAAGAATTAATATGATAAATACAGTTAGCCCTCCCAATCTATTTATTCCACATATGAGGTTTTAACCAACCACAGATCAAGAATATTCAAGAAAAAAGTGGCATTTGTACTGAACATGTAAAAAATTTTGTATTATTATTATTATTATTAGTAGTAGTAGTAGTAGTAGTACAGGGGACTGGACTCAGGGGCACTTAATCACTGCATCACATCCCCAGCCCTTTTATTTTTTATTTTGAGGCAGGGTCTCACTGAGTTGCTTAGGGTCTTGCTAGGTTGCTGAGGCTGACTTTGAGCTCACAATCCTCCTGCCTCAGCCTCCTGAGCCACTGGGGTTACAGATATGTACCACGGTGCCTTGCTCTTATCATATTTCCTAAGCAATATAGTATAGGAACTATTTACGTTACATTTAGTATTAAAAGTCATGTAGAAGTCATTTAAAGTATATTGGAAGATGTACACTGATTGTATTCAAATATGTCTTACTTTGTCATTCAGTATAAGTGACTTGAGCATCGACAGAGTTTGGTACCTGAAGAGGTCCCAGAGTCAATCTCCTGTGAATATAGAAGGAAAACTGTATAGAGATATATAAATAAATAAAGATATAGACATACTTCCTTAAATGAATGAGAATGAGAGCGAATGTGTAAGCAGAGTGAGTGAACACTAAAGTTAGGCCTCAAAACTATTTATATCTCATATCTCACTTCCATAGACTTTAGTAAAGGATTGTAGAGATAAAAACAGAAAAACCACATTTCAAAAAAATTTAAAACAATAGGTCTGAATATGACTTTTCCTCTACTTTAGGAGAAAAGCCCCTAACAACATAAACTTTTCACATTGTGTCTCCTTATAGATGCTCTCTAATTACTAATCTGCTTTTCTGCCCTCAAGTCCTATAGGGTAATGATTGATTGGTTTAAAATGTTTCACTAGTCAGTCATATGTAGTAAATGCTATTAGTTGGTTACCCAATAGCTATCTTTTTTCTTTTCTTCATTAATAATAAAATCCCAGTTTTATTCAATGCAACTGTTGCTTCATGTTACTAAGTTTTGAAATAGTTTATTGGGCAACAGTACAAAGTAAACTGTGGACAGTGACTGGAGTGATATAAGCTTAATCAGGTGGTTATTCCAATTTCTACTACAATTTCAGATGTAATCTATTTGTTAAAACAATTGTGCACCTTTCCTAACATTTTCTATTTTCATTGACCTGGCCAATGTTGAAATGGTCTCTTGAAGATTTTGCTATGTTGCTAGTTATGACAAAACCTTGTGAGGATAGAGTACTATCCTACAGGATATGGAACATACTGTGAACCAGAGACCATTGAATGATGCATTTTTTCTCATGATCAGAATGTAAGAGGTCTGTGAAATATTGTGCTGGCAGGTTCTTTATATTAGGTATTCAGATAGGGCCAAATGGGGATGGCTTCTTTTGTTCCATGATGTCTAGGGCCCTGGCTAAGATGATGTGATGACTAGGGGCGATGTAAAAGCTTTACACTTAACACTTAAATCTAGGATTAATTTTGAGTTCATTTTTTAAAAATATATTTCTTTTAGTTGTTGATGGAACTTTTATTTTTATTTATTTATATGTGGTGCTAAGAATTGAACCCAGTGCCTGACACATGCCAGGCAAGCACTCTACCACTGAGCTACAGCTCTAGCCTCTTGAGTTCATTTTAATATAAGTTGAAAGGTTTATGTTAAGATTTTTGTTCATTTGATTTTTGGTTATTTTTGCCTACTGTTCTGGTACTGTTTTCTTGAAAAGGAAAACAGTTCCTCCACTGAACTGGACTTCAGTAAGGCTGAAGGGGAAAGGGAATTTGGGTGGCAAAAATCTTTTCAATTATTTCCTAAGATAACTGTAAATATTCATTTTATCACCAAATGTCAAATTGCATATTTCTTTTTCTTTATAAAAATGTTAAGCCATAACCAAATAATAAAATAAAATTATTGTATCAAGAAAAAATTGGGGGCTGGGGATGTGGCTCAAGCAGTAGTGCGCTCGCCTGGCATGCGTGCCGCCCAGGTTCAATCCTCAGCACCACATACAAAAAAAAAAAAAACAAAACAAAGATGTTGTGTCCGCCAAAAAAAAACTAAAAAAAAAAAAATTGAAATTCTCTCTCTCTCTCTCTCCTCTCAAAAAAAGAAAAAATTGGGAAATTTATGTAGATCTATTTCTGGGTTCTCAATTCTATTTCATATATCTATATATCTATCTCTCACAAGGTTTTGTCATAACTAGCAACATAGCAAAATCTTCAAGAGACCATTTCAATACTACACAGTCTTGAATATTGTAGCTTTATAAAAATCTTTGAAATTGTATGAAGAGATTTATGTGTTGGTTTTGTATTGTA